TTTAAAAAATTACATTGGAAAAGGCTTGTTAATCCCTGAGACACTGACATCAATGAGAGAATCTCCACAAAGAATGACACCAGCCAGATGGTGAATTTGAACCCACGACCTTCTTGTTGTGAGGCAACAGTGCTAACCACCGCACTACTGTGCTGAAGACAGAGAGCTAATTACAAATGAGAAAAATTTGAATTGGAGACACTTGAGGCTGACTCCCAAGTTGTTCTGGAGAGACTGCACTGGGCTGGTGAGTTGTTGAGAGGGTTCAAATTGATCAGATTTCCTTTGAACAGTCAAGATAAAAAAATAATTAAATACACAAATATTCACTTTTGGAGAGAAGAAATATTTGGAATTTAGAATTTAACAGTTTACAGAAAGATATTTTGAGATATTACCAGCTGACCAGAGAAAAAAAAACTATTCAGGATACGTCTGCAGAGTTAATCTCTAGATTCATGTAACATCACAGCATTTAATACCAAGGTAGAACCTTTATAGTGAAAAGAAGATCAGACAGGCTGGAGTGAAAGTGGGTTGCAAAGCAGCTTGCAAATGCACAGTTTACATAGCAGTCCCTGCTTGAACTATAGAAGTGTATCAGCTGAACCATGATGGGTGTGGACTCATACTGAGATCAGCTGATCAGTACTACACTAAATATTGTTGAGTCTGTATCACAGTGTTTTCATCTGTAGTGTTGCGTGTTTGAATTAGCTTCTTGATTTTTGTGTATCCTTTAATACTGAAAACTCATTTCCTGCTCACACAGAAGCTGACTGTTGCTTTCTCCTTCAGTAAGGTAACATTTATGCAAATAAGGTAAAGTTTACAATATCTACTGATTCAGGCTTACATTTCTTGGGAAAAATGTAATTAAAAAAGAAAACCTTAGATATTTCTTTCAATACTCTAACACACCCCATAGCTACATGTTGTCACTCATTAGTTAGCTTTGAAACCTGAAGTTGAGGGTTTTAGTTTGGACACAATTATATCCTGATTCTCCTTTCTTTATGCTAATGAGGACAATAATTTACAAAATGAACATCATGTTGGTTTTAATGAGACTTAACAACAGAGACATGAACTCATCAGAAAAGCGTTTGTTCAAACTAGATTTGGTTTTCTACAGATGTTTACAACATAATTGCTCCCTATTGGCAATTAGAAACAATCAGGTTTACGGCACTTCCACACTGGCTTAAATTTTAACATTCAGTTTTTATATACAGTCTGTGTCACACCCCCACCCCTATCTCAGCCTTGGAGGAGGATTGAACGCTGATTTCTCATTTTTCTAAGACATTCAAGCTTCATTTTAATTTTTTACCTGCAGTTTGTTCCTTCTTTTTAACTATTTGAGGTCGTCAAGGTCCACGAGAATACATCTAAGTGTATTCAAAAGTTTTATCCACAGTTTGTTTTCTCTGACTTTGCCTCTTTGGGCCCTGTTATACAAACAGTGGGAGATGCATTTTTCACTTTCTTTCTCGTCTCCATCTCTATCCTGTTTAGCAGCAGTCTTGGCCAGGGTTATATTGCCCTGCACTGTGTTTATATTTTCTTCTTTATTTTTTCCTGGGCAGAGCGAAAAGCACCAGTTAATTAATACTGGGGCACTTCTACGCCAAACTCAACACTCAGCTTCAGAGGACCAGCGGCTGGCAGAGCGAGATGGGCAGTGAGAGATTGGATTTATTCATTAAAAGCCTGCAGTAAGTTATTACACCTCCGCTGAGAGGCTGCAGTGCTGAATGCTGTCCTCGTTAACGGCCTATCAAAGTGCGGTGGCGTAGAAATCGGCGGGTGAATCATCGGGCCGTCTGTTCTACAGCCCAGCACTCCCATGGTATCATTTTGTAGTGTTGGATGTGTTTCTAGTTCTGCGTTATTTGGACTCATGAGCGCGCGGTGCAACGCCAAAACTGCTCTCACGAGGACGTCCAGCCTTGTTTGAAAAGAATCGTGGTTATTTTTGTTTGTGGGACTGAAAGGTCTGGAATAATAAAAATTAGTACTATCATCTACTTTTTCTTGTAACATATGTTTTTCAAACCCACACAGATTGTAGCAATGCCCGCTTTAATTGGGCCAAGCGTATCTTTTCAGGGCACAAACAGCTGAAATATTCAACTTTTTTTTATATGCATATTTTCACTCCAAAGAGGAAAAAGTTGGCAGATGATGTTCTGGCTGTGGGTTGCGAAGATGGCTGAAAGTAAAAAGGAGAAGCTAAAATAAAATCTGATCTCCAGTGACAGGACCAAATTGAGGAAGTGCACATCGTTAAGGTTAGAGAAAGATGGCTGCAGTTGATCGATACTGATATTTGGTGATTTACAGCCCCGGTTCTGAAAATGTTGAGACCCTGAATAAAATGTAAATAATAATAATGCAATGAAAGTCCTCATTACACTATATTTACCTTCATACAACATCCCATCTTTTTGGAATTTGGGTTGTTACGGCAACTCATATTGGTAGCACTGAAGTTCTCCTGGTGCAAATTTACAGACATTTTCTGCCTGTTTCTTATGTCTTTTGCTGGAAAATGAAGAAATGTTTCTTCTGGGTTGGCGATGAAAGGCTTGAGCCTTGTGAATAAGATCTTAGTCACTAACATAGAATCTAAAATGAATGCAGCGTATTGCGGTGGAGCCCTGAGCCTATAAACCAGGTAATCTAAAATATATTATCCAGTAAAATGTGAAAGTACAAGACAGAAGAAAATAAAAGGCCAAAAAATGTAAATTTACTACCGCTGGTCTCAGGGCACAGATTGTAGAGCTCACTGAAGAATATTGGTGATATATTAGGTGTACAAATATATGGTTGGTAGGCTTGGCAGTGGTTTTGATTTTGTTTTAAGCAGACAGAAAGGTGCTTAACAAAGTAAATTGAATTTTACATTTTTCATGTGACAAAAGGGAAACAACCTCCAAATCTTTACAAGATATTAGAGAAATCAAGGACTGTTTTTTAATGTAGATCAATCATCCAAAATTCATCTCCGACTTGGGGCTGTCAGTTCTGTCTGTGCTTCAGTGGAAGGCAATCCTGCTACTACTCCTATCTGCTCGGCTCATCACCCATAGTACCGAAGCCAAGCTGTGCAGATGTGCATACAACATCAAGAAGCTGTCGGTGGATGGCTGGTTCAAAAAACAAACAAACACACCAAAGAAAACCTCACTGAACTTTGCTTTCCTCTTCTTTAAACTTAAGTCTTTTTTTAATAAAAAAACCTTTTTTTAGGGCCAGAACCTCTTTGCTGGGTGTCAAAACTGTTTTACTTGAAGGACATTTCATGATATGTCACGTTCTCTAGACCCGATCCCTTTCTTTGGCACAGTGTCATCACTCTGCTGCATTATCTCCACGGCTTTACCAGATGCATCCACACAGACCAACAAATTGCCTCGCTGTTTAATGCTTAAACCTTGGTGGTTTCCCATCTTTACTCAAATAAGAACACGGTGCATTATTTTATGCAACAGCCGAGATGCAAAGATGCTGAAAGCACAGGAGAAGAGGATGTTGAACAAACTAAAAAAGGACTCATCGAGCTGGAGTCATAGAGCGATGAAGTCGTACATCGCTTAAAAGACTAAAATGTGAAGCTGTCTATCAAAGTCTGTAGAAAAATTGTACCTCAGTAAACATTTCCTGCTGAGTTTATAGTCTTACTGACTCATTTTGGATCCTGGTGACTACAAATTAAGTCAGTTTTCTAAATTTTGATCATCCTAATTTTCAGAAAGGATTAGCCAGAGACATGCTTATTGGATGATGACCTATGACCGATAAGCCAATACATCTTCTCAGATAGTTAAACACACAAACCCTACAGCGCACATCCTTCAGTCACATTAAATCAGCGCCTGGTGCCAAAGGCATTAGCTGTCTCACAGTCACATCAGCTTCTCTTCAAATCAGATTTCACCACGTTGCAAAAATCCATTCACCCACCCAATAAGGTCGTCGTTTACATCACACTTTTACATTAAGGTCACTTGATAATAACTGGACCAGCTCCATAAAATAATTAACGCTCTTGAAAGTTGCATTATGATGTGCTGTGTTTTCCTGATAAGAACTCATTATGGAAATACCAAATATCCCAACGAGCCAAAGCAATAAATAAAAGTAGAATTTTTTCCTCAGCTCTAAGTAAAAACAGTCTGTTTCCCTAGAGCTGTCAGAAATGTATAAACGGTCCTTAAATGAAGAGTCTCCAGTTACAGTGTGATTGACTATATCTCACTGAAAACGCCGTCTTTAGTTTTAATGAGACGGACTAAAACAACAATTTGCTGGAAGCATAAACCCCTTTTTTGTAAAGAGGCCACCCTGCCTCAGAAGAATGCTTTAAACTGGATCCTAAATAAGCAGGATAGCTGCAACAAATGGAAACAATAATAAAAGAAAAGCATCCCTGAAAGAGAGTTTAGACTTTTCCACTTGTCAAAGTAAACTCATGTCTCGCTAAGGATCAGAAAAGCTGCCAGGGCGTTTCAGGCATCTCAAATTCTACTGAAGCATGGCAAAGGTATTTCATTTGCCCGTGCTTGACACTTTAGCCTTTTCACATTCTCACCGTCATTCAGTGCATTCCTGGAAACGCTCTGACTCACTGTAAACGAGTTTCAGGTTTTCTTCATATTTCTACTTATTTAAACCCATTCACAACAAATGACTTTATTCTACCTCAGACTGTTTCTTGTGTCAAATCAAAACACTGCGAGGAAGGTATAAAGGTTGGAACAATACTACTGCTCCGACACACACTGAATGCCAAACACTGTATCCATTATGTTTTCTTTTTTATGGTTTTTCTACCTTCAAGGCAGCCACTGCTACAAAAGACCTTGCAAGAGGAGAAAGGAGTATTTAATAGCCCCATAAGTCTGCAGATTCTTGAATGTAACCTGGGTTTTAATGCTTGACGTGCTAAAATTGTGTGTTGACCAGTGTGAGGTTTCAGGAAGAATGCTCACCTTCCTCTGTCTCATGCCAAACGATACCCTCCAGGTTGACACTAGTCCCAGGTTGGCAGGGCCCCAAGCAGGCCGAATCACCCTCCAGCGCCCCTGACGCAGCTCCATCCTGGGTGTTGGTGCCGATGGACCTCGTCCTCACCGCCAGCTGCTTAGGGTTTGAGGTGGGCAGGGCCGGGGGGGAAAACGAGGGGGCCGAGGGCAGCGAGCATCCAGGGGCCCCGGGGTGGCCTGGAGCTGGGGGAGCTGGGACTGTGAACATGGGGTCCACCTGCAGAGAAGAGGATTCATTAAAGATCAGATTATGCCACTCAGCTTAGTTTCAATATATTTAATGAAATATATGTCCATGACTGAGCTTCCGCTTCTGCTGAAATTAATGGGAGAGAGAGATGGGCAGAAATATAAGGAAAAGGATTATTATTAAAGTCATTTTATTATTACTGGAGTGAATCCAACTGACAGATGATTATTTCAGTGTTGGATAATGCTGCATAATGGAGGCAAGAATCGGAAGGACATTTTAGAAGAGGAGACATTTTCTCCAAATGTCACACTATTCATTATTCCACCCTCAGTCTGCAGTTACCAGCTTCCTAATACTGAGTGTCAGCTAATCATCTCTCAACTGTATCCAGACTTTAAAAAAATCATTTTTTCTCACTCGGTCTGGTTCGATTCATCTTCATCTCTCTTTCCTGGCTGGTGGAGTCCTCACCCTTGTGAAATGCAAACATTTCACACTCGTTGAGCAGTTTTTGAGAGCAGAGGCTTGGATGAATGTTTCCAGCTAACGCACACACGTACAGAAGCTGCACATTATAATTAGCTTCCACTTTTGTACAGAGTGACTCAGAAAAATAATACAGTAGTGCAAGAAGGTAACAATGGATACATTCAGTGTGATTATAACAACAACAAAAAAAGTGTTTCTGCCAGGAAAGTGCTTAGACCCTGCGGCTTCTGGGGCCAGCAGGGCAGGGGACAATTTAATGTTGCACTCCATCCGTGTAGCCTATCCACCCACTAATTGCTAATTGTGGAGCAGTGAGAACATTTCTGCAAACACAAGGAGGCGGAATGAGACGGAGAGAGATGCAGGAGAGTTTATTTCACGCTCTCAGCATCAGGACAAAAGTAACTGCTCAGAAATATTTGGAAATCACACATGACAT